CAGTATAACTCCAGTGGGGTGGGGAACCATGTTGGTGGCAGTATAACTCCAGTGGGGTGGGGAACCATGTTGGTGGCAGTATAACTCCAGTGGGGTGGGGAACCATGTTGGTGGCAGTATAACTCCAGTGGGGTGGGGAACCATGTTGGTGGCAGTATAACTCCAGTGGGGTGGGGAACCATGTTGGTGGCAGTATAACTCCAGTGGGGTGGGGAACCATGTTGGTGGCAGTATAACTCCAGTGGGGTGGGGAACCATGTTGGTGGCAGTATAACTCCAGTGGGGTGGGGAACCATGTTGGTAGCAGTATAACTCCAGTGGGGTGGGGAACCATGTTGGTGGCAGTATAACTCCAGTGGGGTGGGGAACCATGTTGGTGGCAGTATAACTCCAGTGGGGTGGGGAACCATGTTGGTGGCAGTATAACTCATGTGGGGTGGGGAACCATGTTGGTGGCAGTATAACTCCAGTGGGGTGGGGAACCATGTTGGTGGCAGTATAACTCCAGTGGGGTGGGGAACCATGTTGGTGGCAGTATAACTCATGTGGGGTGGGGAACCATGTTGGGGAACCATGTTGGTGGCAGTATAACTCCAGTGGGGTGGGGAACCATGTTGGTGGCAGTATAACACCAGTGGGGTGGGGAACCATGTTGGTGGCAGTATAACTCCAGTGGGGTGGGGAACCATGTTGGTGGCAGTATAACTCCAGTGGGGTGGGGAACCATGTTGGTGGCAGTATAACTCCAGTGGGGTTGGGAACCATGTTGGTGGCAGTATAACTTCTGTGGGGTGGGGAACCATGTTGGTGGCAGTATAACTCCAGTGGGGTGGGGAACCATGTTGGTGGCAGTATAACTCCAGTGGGGTGGGGAACCATGTTGGTGGCAGTATAACTCCAGTGGGGTGGGGAACCATGTTGGTGGCAGTATAACTCCTGTGGGGTGGGGAACCATGTTGGTGGCAGTATAACTCCAGTGAGGGTGGGGATATGAGGTGTCAGTGATCATTTATGCTGTCAGTGATCGGTCATACAGACAGTTCTGGTGAGAGAGATACATTATAACTCAGACGTGTGACACCAGTACCAGGACACATAGGGTGTCAATGATGCCATCACATGTGACATCACCATAAATGTCAGTAAAACTGTCACTGACAAGTGTGCGGTCAGGGTTAGGTACACACAGATGGGGGCAAACAGTGAGCATATCAGTTCAATCTAATGAAAATTGACAGGAAAGTTAAATACCCTCAAACTGGGTCGGGGTGTGTGAGAAGGCGGGCAACAGTATATATATATATATATATATATATATATATATATATATATATATATATATATATATATATATATATATATATATATATATATATATATATATATATATATATATATCACTACCGATTTGTCGATTTCAAGAACTTCATTAATAATCATTGGAGAGAGCTTGTGCCTTGCCTTGTTCGCTTTAGCATTACGGCTTTCATCATTGGCGGCTTGAGGCCTACTTTCATTTACGATGGTCTATTTAAACATAAAACAACACGTCTAGTTTCAATTTTGTTCTGATTCTAAAATTGCCAATTAATAGATTAAATGATGTTAAAAAAAAATAAAAAAAAATCAAGTGGCATTCTCGGATACCCGTTAGTAAACACAGTAAAATGAAAGGCTTCAAATTTAAAAAGTAAGCAATAAGATAACATAAAAGTGTTTTGATTTTAGATATATATTAAACGAAACTTTAAAACTGTAATTTTATACAAAATAAAAACATAATGCAATTTTGTATAACAAAGTAATATTAAATATATTTAAAAAATAACATAATATTCAACGCTTGTTTTATTATTTATATTTTTTAACGCTCTGTATAATTTAATTATAGTTGTTTCCCCTGATATAAATTTTCTAATCTAAACGTGAGATAATGAATGGATAACTGTCAGTCTCTAACTAATACGATGAGCTCATTCTTACTTTCTAACTTGAGAATTACAGTTGGTGATAGTTTACTGTTGTCATCAGTCAACTCCACTCGATTCCCCTCACCCGCACCGGGTGACACCATTTAGGAGGGGTGACACCAAGGCAAAAAATAGCAAAATATATAGAGAAAAACTTGAGAGGGGGAGGGTTGCAAATCGAAAGTTTGTCCCCGGGAAGGGTCGCTACGCCTCTGGGGGGTGACACCATTAAGTGCCGCACCGTGTGACACCCGACCTCGCTACGCCACTGGGTGGCATACACATTCAAATCTCTCTAATCAGAGTGTCATCACTATTGACTTCATCCCCCAGAGGGCTAATTTCAGGAGGGGGCGCCAAATTGATAGCTCGTCCTGGGCACCAAAATAGATCTTTACGCCTTTGTATATTACCTTGTATATTGTTTATATAATATAATAAAAGTTATTAATTATTAGGTACTTTTTAATAATGGCAAATACACATTTTTGCGCCCCCGTATATGGATAGCGCCCTAGGTGACCGTCTTGATCGCCATATAGGTAGCGCCGGCCCTGGGTCCCATGTAAGCCCCGCAGCCATTGCTTCACTTTCAACCGTCATCTTCCATGATTTCTAGGCCTGCCTACTTTTCTGTGCTCTCTTCAGCCCAACGCTCACTCCGCGGTTGTTTTGTTTTTTATCTTCTCCTATCCTTCAGCCACAAACACAACCTTATTTGATTTGAACTATTGTTCGTCTAGTTGTGATCTTGGAATATATTTACACCCTAATACAAATATTAAAGCTATACATTATGTAAAGTGTCGTCCATAAATGACTTTACGCTTTAAGACGATGTGTACCTCCTAAACATCCCATCAACTCCAAGCTGCAGTTGTTTTTAAACAGCGTTTTCTTTCTAAAATATAAAACCTTCAATACAATCCACACACACAGAAATTGGAATTTTAAAAAAAAAACAATATAACCGCCGGATTTCAGATTAAAAAAAATTAGGCTATAGTTAATGAAGTTCCAAAGTACGACGTCACACTTTCTGAAGCTCCACCCCGACCCCTTTTCACTCATCGTCATAAAAGTCAGAATGCCTTTCCGGTTTTCCCTAACTACCAGTGTTTCTTCCAGACTTTTTTCTCCGGGGGGGCACTTGAAATCTTCGGGGGGGGCGGTAAACTTTCTTCGGGGGGGCGGACACTGTTAAAAGTATATATTTTCTATATAAATTATATAAATTTCATTTCGTTCGGGGGGGCGGTAAAAAATTTTCGGGGGGGGGCTTCGCCCCCCCGAAGAGATGCCTGGAAGAAACTCTGCTAACTACACACTTGAAAGACCCCCTTTTCGCTACTAGACTTTAACTTTCATTTGTTCTGTATTTGCCTATATCAGGTTTGAAAAAATGTGATAGTTTTTTTTTTTTTCATAATTATGATAGTGAACATGGGACGGAGTGGCCTAGCGGCAGAGAGCTGGACTGCTAACCCGTAAGTCTCGAGTCCACCCAGCTCTGATGGGGAAAATTTTTTACCGCCCCCCCCCCCCCTCCCCCGAAAGAAATGAAATTTATATAATTAATATAGAAAATATATACTTTTAGCAGTGTCCGCCCCCCCCCCCCCGAAAAAAGTCTACCGCCCCCCCCCCCCCGAAAATTTTAAGTGCCCCCCCCCCCCCCCCCCGGAGAAAAAGTCTGGAAGAAACACTGAAAGGCGGCTGGGCATAGTGCTAACCACACTATCCCTTTATATGCCAAGGGATAGAAACAAGTGAACTCTACTTCACTTTCCCCATAAACCGTCTGGTTTGAAAGGGAACTTTACTTACTGACTTACTATGATAGTGAACAGTGTTACTAACAAAACGTGTGCTATAGCCTGAAATAAGACATCACAACTGATGTCATACAACAGATTTGAACAAACGTAAAAAGTAAGAAAAAGACAACTTCTGCTTTATAAATATTTATTCCATGAAATACATGAGGCTGGCAAGCTGTCGAATACTAGTGTTACAGTTAGTTACAGTTTGTCACTGCAGGTGGCGTGTCACACAATTGTAGGTGGCGCTGTTTAACACATAAGAGAAGGCTGAAGCCAGTAAACAGAAACGACAAACAAATTGCAGGAATTTTCACACTATAGCTAATTCACCACTGTCCATAATTTAAATATGAAAATAACATGCCACAAAAACCTGGTACAAATCTACAGGTAATATTTATAATAAATATAATTAACTTCCAATCATTATAACATAAATTAAAGAGGTTCTTACAATGACACAAACTTTCATAGTTGAAATTTAGACTCCACAAAAATAAAAGATTGACAAACTATAACAAAACAATTCTGGTATTTTCATTAAAACAAAATTGATCCCCACATGTTAACAATGTAAAGCTAGAACAAAATTTTAACTTGGTTGAAAACATGGACTGGAATGAAAGAGATGTATTTTCATAGTGTACAAGTACCTGGCCAAGCAGCATGTATAGTAAGCATAAAGCATACACTTCAAGGATTTAATATGGGTTGATTTAGTCTGTACATAAAATTTGAAATCCTAAGATGGATGTAACAAGTCAATGTAAAAATTCAGGGATTCATGTCATTATTTAAAGGGCTTTACATCAAACATTCATATTTTTACACTCATTTAAGAAAAAATTATATTCATTTAAATATAAAACCAAGATAATATATTCATTTTAATAGTTTAATGTAGGGAGTTAATAAAATAAGACATCCATCATATCAGTTATAATATTATTAATTTTCATTGTTTAAGTTACAAAAAATTTAAACAATTTAATGACATTTGATTTATTTCAATGAGCTAGAAATCATATTTTTAAAATGCATTTTATAAAAAGCAAAGCACAATATTTCAGAAATTCTAAAGATGAATTTTTGTTTCTACCATCAACTTAAATTCTGTTAACATACAATCTTGTAGGAACATTACAATAGAATGTTTTTTATGTAAAACATTCTTTTGAAATTTTAAAATACATGATGAATTTTACATAGATCTTGAAAAAAATGAACATACAACATAAGGGAGTTATGTGGTAAAATCAAAGAGAAAAAAGTCAGGGAGATTTCATCATTAAATGTAATTATAGAATATATTTAAAAGAAGGCACTTTGGTGAAAATTACAACCTTTTAGTTAGGAATGGCTAATTACATGTCACAACCGTTGAATGAGATATGTATGGCCCAGCAACCAATCAAATGGGCTAAAACATTTATTTACAAATACATCAGAGCCAATCAGCTGGCCAGTTTCAACATCAGAGCCCATCAAAATAAGTAAAAATTTTATTCTTTATTTTTTTTTTTAGAGTTAAAAAGAATTAATTGTAATAGTTATATGGATTCATAGACTTCATTTAATTAAAGTTTCTTGATTAATTTTCACCAAGTGGAATTTTTTAAATTTCGAAGTGTGGAAGAAAATATTTTTGATGTTTGGTCAAAATGTAAAGTAATTGGGCAGTGGTCGACCAATGATTGGTTGATTGAAACAAACAATTAATTATAAATACATTATTTAATTAACAAGTCACAACCTTTGATAAGCAAGTCTGTATTTCACAGATTGAAGATATAAAAATGAAAAATAAAATTCAGATTAAAAAAACTCATTTTTACAACTTACAACTAAATAATCAAATACTAAGTGAAAATCAAATGAAAATATTACATTTAAATAAACTTTCATGGCAACACAGAAACAAGCTAATTGTTTTCTAAACAAAAAAAGTGTGTTTTAACTCGCAAAACAAAAGACATCTGTGTGAAAATTGTATTCATTGTTTGGTGATTTGCCGAATAGAATATGTATTAAGATTTTTAAGGTTAATCTTTGAATTTCGCTTAAAATTGTTCTTTACAATCACAAGCCCCATTTAACAAGGTTTATAAAAATAAGAAACCACAACGGGGATAGTTTTTTATAGTAATTTCTTATTATCTATAAAAAAACATTTTTCCCACTTAACTAAATCTTGAAGTTTCAAGTTGGAGTAGGGTCCATAACATGCAATGTGTAATGATTGATAGATTACAGTTATAAATAGCTTTGAACACCAGTAACAACTCCTAACTGGCACTAGTCCCTACTTTTATTTAACAGACATGATGTGTTCTGTTTATATGAGAGCAAAATACTGTTTTCTACAAAGATAGAATAATTTCTTTAACAATAAATTAAAGGAAAAAAAAAGAAATTAGCAAAACCTCAGATGATTTTTTTAATGCTTTTGTGTCAGCAAATTTAAATCCCACTAAAACATTCTCTCAAAAAATTATCAAAAACAAGCCAAAACACAATCATCAATTTTTCATTCATTTATTTTTATTTTTAATTATTGGTTTGTTTAAATATAGCACATGACAAGAATCACAAAATACAATATGGCACAACAAAACTGAATTCATTTACATTAGCAGCAACTGGTAAGTACAATCTAATTAAGTCTAATTATCAAGTATCTTTTAAAATAAAATAAAATTCTATGTCAAGTTTACTGTAAAAATGAAAATGTTAAAATTCAGAAAAGAAAATTGATGTCAAGGTTACATGTGAATAATAAAAAAAATTATGAAGCTATGCTAATGTTTAATAATTATATAATGATGTATGAAAACAATTGTGTACCTTTTGGCTTCATTTAATTTCAATAAATAATAAAGCCCAGTTGGTGAGTTTTTAATTTAAGAAGGCAATTGGAAATGAAGTGGTTCAATATACATATCATTAAATAAATTTGATCAAGTTCAATGTTTATAAAATCCATTCATTTGTTTTATGTACAGATAATTAAATCTTTAATGTCAGAGAATTGTAACTATTAATGAATACATAGTATAATTTATTGCTCAAATGTAGTATAACATTGTTAAGCATATTCAGGCTTCTCAGTGCGATATATGCTCAGCAATTTTTGGTGACGTATTTTCAGCAATTTTATCTTACATGTACTCAGCAACATCTATGATAAACATATGATCAGCAAAACTCTGTATAACGCATACATTTTCTTGTTTGTGGAATGAAAGAGAAGACTATGGTTGTATTTACATTGGACCTTTTCAGACACTAGAATGTTTGCTTATTCTGCCCACCTTACCCTGATCAAACATGCTTTTTTTTAAATGCTGAATTGTTTTGGTTTGTAGTAAAGTCATGTGACAATCACATGACCATCTCAACAGTCTGTGGATGTGAACCGGAATGGGCTAAACTGAACGTCATTTTCAGAGGAATGTCTGCGCTTGAGAGAGCTCAGGTCTGGGTTGTCCATGCACTCGATGGACAGGGCCTCCAAGTTGGGCAGGCTGGATTTGATGGAGGAAGGGCTGTCCATGGTGGACGAGGGGGACATCTCCTCGCAGCTGTCCATTGGAATGTTCCGGAAATGGCTGAGACTGTCTGGAGTGTTGGCGGTGGTGGACGACCCAGACTCTGACTGCGGGTCGTTGAACCCCAGCTTGTACTGCAGGTTGGGTGTGCTGGAGTGCTGCGGGGAGGTTTCTGTCTCAGGGATGCTGGACAGGGACGCGGCAGGCTTGGCCAGCTTGTTCAGGCTGAAGCTCCGGCTGTCTGGCACCCTGGGCTTAAGGCTGTCACCCCCCTGGTGGTTCGTCACATTCACTTTATTATTGTTGTTGTTCTTCCTCGACGTGGGAATAATGTACTGGTTCAGATTCAGGCGCGGGTCGCCGCCGCCTTCCTTCTGAAGGCTCTCAGCTTGTTTGTAGTCCAAGCCATCTCTCAGAGAGCTGGTGACACACTCAGACGAAGACACTAGGGAGGAAGGTTTCCTGCTGCTTGATGCCAGAGACAGAGTTGATAGGTTGTCATTTTCTCTGATCATGATGGGGGCTGGAACTATTTTACTGTCCTCAGACCCTGTTGAGTAGCGCTTCTCCTCCATACATACCTGGCGACACACAAGAAAATACTTTATAAAGCTTGCTTTGATAAGTTAACATAAGTTTTAAATTTTTGCAACCATGAAAAAAAAATTTAATTTTTTGGGAATGTATTTTAGTTTTAATTTATATCAGAGTTTTGATTATTTTTAAATTTAAATTAAAACATGTTGATTGAACATGTCAATAAAATGTTAATAATTTAAGAGCATGATATAACTAGTATAGTGTTGAAAATATATGCATTATGTGTTTTTGTCAGTTTTCTTACCTGCATATTGTGCTGACAATACTCTGAAACATACTCCGAATCAATGACGGAGCAGTCAATGTACTCAGAAAGCTCCCCCACCATGCCCCCAGTCTCATAGAAGGGAGGGAGCTGAGCATGGCCGTTGCTGATGCCTTTCAAGCCATTGCCGTTTTCAAAAGCCGTGGCCTTCATGTACGGGTTCCCATTAGGGTAGCCTGGTGAGTAGTAGTAGCCATTCAGGGAGGAGGGGGCGGCACTGGAGTCACGGCTGGCTGAGTTCTCCGTGTCAGATCTTCTGTGCTGGTCTGGTGAAATTTTACATTCAACATTTTGGTTTGGGTTTTATGATGTTGAGTCACCAACAGAAAATACAAACTTAAAAAAATTGTATTTGTTTTTTAAATTTTTAAATTTATATAGGTATTATAGTTAATTTTTTATGCCAGTGTTATGAAAAGCTACCTTTACTGAGGAATGGCTTGGCTGAACTGTTGGTTGATGTAGCTGACTTCTTGTTACGACCTGGCCCAAAGATCCTTGACAGATACTAAGGAAAAAGGAAAAATTTTAAAAATAAAAAGGGAATGGCATGACCAGTAGTTGGGCGTTGTTACTGTTACATTTGTTTGAAGTAACCTGATTTTATAGTTGATATAACTTAAATGCAATGAATAAATTTAGACTCACATTTCCAGAACCTGATGAAACAATGGGTGAGCTGGACTGAACTCCTGTGTAGCCGCCATAGTTGACCCTGATACAGTTTGGTAACCAGGAAGTTCTCCTGGCTACTTTACGATACTCTTTCTGGACCTGAAAACAAGCATAAAAAAATTTATATTTCATGAACTGTCACAGACTGTAAGGAAAATGTCTCTTTCTTGACCTTTTATAAACAATAAAGTTGTTTCTATTTCTTTTCACAAACTCATGTAGTTCTCAACCAGAATAGAACTGTTTTCTTAACTATTACAGAATAAAATATACTCATGTCATTGATATAAATATAAATTAAACTTAAACTAGTATGCATTACTTTCTAACTTTAGTAATACTAACATAGTAATACTAACATAAGTATATATCACTAAAATGAAATGAAACACTAAAATACCACTCAAATGAAATGAAACTCTACCTTCTCATTTCTGATGCAGTGGAAGAAAAAGATGAACATGCCCTGTAGACTGTTGAGGATGGTGAAGCAGTAGGCAATGACCACTGACTCTTCATTCAAGTACAGGACACCCAGTAGCCAGGTCAGTCCCAGAAGTATTGCCAGAACAATGGCTCCCTTCAGCCAGGCACTGAAATGTTTTAATGGCAGCTGTTATAAGTTTGTTGACTTGATTGGTTTTTAAAGTAAGTAAATGGAGTGTAGAGTAGTAGAAAAACTCTTTATATTTGATTTTGTCTTCATAAAATGTCTTGTTTTTATGGAGATGTAGTGGGTGGCTTATAAATTATAATTATTTGTAATCCTAAATAAAACTGTTACTATTAAGTGTGGGTTGAATTTCAATTTTTGTTTTGTAGTAAATAAATAAAGATAATCAGTCTAAATGACGTAGAAACATGTATTGCTAGTGAATATTTGAGCACCTGTGATCATATATGTATAAGAAGGTGACACATAATTCTTATCATTAACACATAGATGCAGCATGCCTCTTTAATACACTGAGCTAAAATTAACATTGAATAGCCTACAGTTTAGATTCACATTGTTAGGCTGCACAAAGTTTGGCTGTGTACTAGAAGTGATAACATTTTATTTTTGTAGTACCATGCAGGTGTTCTTAACAACTAGGGCAGAAAGCGTTTTGTTAAAACTAAAACACCGATTATACAGCAATTCAGGTTAAACGTGTGTTTATGTGTTTAGATCGAGCACAGTCTCATCAACAAGTGTTCAAGTGTTTAGTTATACTACAGTCGCTTTATTAAGATGCAAACACTTTTCTCTACACCAAAACATTTCAACAGCATATTTTTTAAAACCTTAATTAATTTAAACAAAATAAAAAACTTCACTGCCCATGTAGCAAAACCACAAAACAAAAGAAACCATTAAATAAAAAGTATCCTTCCCTAGAACAAATTTAACCAATCCAAACCAACAAATAATCACCAACAGTTCTTGTATGTTAAGTCCTAAAACATCCAAGCAAACAAAAAAATCATAGCAGCAAATGAAAACAAAAAACTTGTAGTGCTGGTCAGTAGCTGAAATTTTTCGGTTCATTTCACATGCTATTTTTAATTAAATTTACTGCTAGCTTCCATTGAAATCTTTGAAAAATAAAGTTTCCTTAGTAAAAGTATATCTATAGCCTGCAGTAAACAATTTTGATAAAGATATATATGTTTAGTCAAATTATGAAGAGATAATAAAAAAAAATCAACTTTTTGTTGTTAAAGAAGAAAATGTATTGTTATCAGAATGTATGGTTAAAATACTAAGCTGGTGGTTAAATTAAACAAAACAAAAAACAAGCAAATGCTGTGCCATCAAAAAAGGAAACAAAAAAGACACATTGCGCCATTCAATCATAACATTTTAAATCTGGAATCTTACGGCAAATCAGGAAAGCGGAGCTTAGGAGAGGCAAAAGTCTCCATACTGCTGAGACTTTCTGAAACACTGGAGGGTTGATACAGGGTTTAGAAATATTTGGGTAGATTGACAGGAGAGTTTACAGAGTTAAAAAAAAAATTCTATCAGCTAATACAATCAATGGGGGATTATTTAGGATTATAAAAAATATTTTGTGCATTTAAAAAAAATAAAAGATTGAGAAAATTCTATCTTCCACTGAATTTTTTATGAATTAATCTTTTTGATACACTTGGTAAAATAAAAAAACTTAAAATTCAATTTATTAGAAAATGATTGATAATGGGGAATATTTAAAGAAATGTCATTAACATTTAGAAGTAATAAAGATATGAAGAGATCGTTTAAAATAAAAGGTAGTTTGAAACACTAGTTTTATATAATTATTATTACCCTACCTAAATTTTGTTGCTTTTGATCTTTCCTTCATTGTAGCAGACATGTTGGAATGGCGACACATTGTATAGATTGCGATACCCAACATAATAATATTGACCTGAAAATTAAAATAGGAAAAATTATGGAAATAATATTTGAAAGACAAAACTCAAAATATGCCTTAAAAAATGTACTAAAGGTGATGTAAATAAAACACCCATTAAAAGTTGCTTCTAAAAATATCTTATGTTTTGGTTTATAAAATAAAAATTTGGTATAAAATATTTTTTTCTTACCATCATTACTGCTAAAGCTGGGCCAACAAAACTCCAAATAAAAGATTTCTCAGTTGTTAGCCAACAGCTGTGAGGTTAAAAAGAAAATTCATAAAATTGTAATAAAAATATTTTTTATTGATCAGTTACATTGATGAATTTGGAAAAAAAAAGTTATCCTACCATTCTATCAACATATTCTAAATGTAAATAACAATAAATAATAAAGAAAATGAAAGATTTTTTTCTTCACACTATCATTAGATCAACTTACTGTCTAGCAGTGCCGTAACCCTGATGATATATGCCTGCAGAGATGCCAACAATAACTGCAGGAACACCTGTCAATACAACAAGTAAAATTGTTATTTTTAAAACAATTACTTCACAAACTGTATTGCTAACGTTACTGTGTAGAGACTCTACTAATTGTGTCACTCACCATAACCAAACATGTAGTACCACATGACCCTTGACCTCTCCTGCTCAAACACTTCAACAAGCATCACATAGAGCTGGACGCCTTCAAGACACATCCAGGCAAATGCTCCAAGGAACAGGTAGTGTAGGACGCCAGCAATTATAGAACAAACAATCTGTGCACACAAGTAAACAAATTAGGTTTGTCTAGATAAAACAATGAACCATTACATAATTGCATTCAATGTGGATAGTACATCCAATCTCTGAGTTGAATATTACACTCAAAAATTTAGCACAATGCAGATTCAAATAAAGTAAGCATATTCTAATGTTTGCTTTAATGTGAAAGTTGACCTTCACCTTGGGCTCAGTCTGAGCTATGCCTCCCAGGAAGAGAATCTCTGCCAGCAGAAGACAAAGAACCAGATTTTTATGAATTGTGTTTCTGTCACACTGCAGATTTCTGCAAGAAAAAAAAGTTTTATAAATTAAATATTTAACAACATACCAAATTAGAATTAGTCTAATTAATTAATTTTTTAAAAATTTGTGACAAACATTAATGATAAATTAGCAGGTGTATGGATTAGAACTTACTTAAACACCATGAAGGTTGTCCAGCTAAGCATGAGACAGACAATAGAGATAACACATCCAACAAAGGTGATTACTCTAAGGGCTAGTTCATTTTCTTCTGACAGCTGGGAAAATAAATATTTTAACACTTACACACTAAAAGAATAATTGTAAGAAAACATTTTCATAATTTTATTTAAGAAATGACAAAATGCACAGACGTTAAAAAAAAATGAAGAAACACTTAGTAAAATAATTAAAGCAAGCAATAATGACCATTCCTAATTTGTTTTCTGTGGTCAAAAGGTTTAAAAATAAGTGAAAGTACCTTGACCCCAGAGATATCCATCAGCACAGCAAAGTTGGTCAGGTGATCACATTCACAGGTGGTGTGGGTCAAGTTGGTGTGCAGCAGACGGCATCCATCTTGTGACCACTGACCAACAAGTTGGCTAAAATAAAATTTTAAAGAAATTTAGAACATATATTTATGTTTTCTTTTTTAGACAAATAAAAATTACTTATTACCTTAAGCTTATTAAATTGGTTAACTGATGAGAATTCTTACCCAATTTCAATATTCCAGAAGGAACACACAGGAGCAGCATTTTCAAGTGTCTGAATGGGTATAAGAAATAAACGTTACAGAAAATTAATCATCAGGCCTACTTTTTCATAGATTGGCTCAACAACTTTCTGGTAATTAATTTCAGCGTATAATAATCATATTAATTAATTAAAACAAATTTAAAAAATTAAACTGGTTACAACTATTGAGCACTTATTAGTATATTGATCAAACACAGCACTTACCTATTGGGCATGGGTGGGTGATGAAAACCAAAATAACCAAAATGTTTATTTCTAAACTGGCAACTGCAGGAAATTTTTGGACTTTTTAAAAATTTTAGACTTAACGCTTTGAATCATAATTATATGCTAAATATTATAGCATTAGGTTTAGAAATAAGCATTTTGGTTTTCATCACCCACCCATGCCCTTACTTGATATTTTTATTTAGTAATCATCTACAATTGTAAGGCTTATTTTTACTGATACTGTGCAGTATATAAAAAAACACAAGCTGACCTGCAGATGGTGCAAGGTAAATCTGACAGGCTCAGGTAGGGAGGAATCAAGCTGTGAGTTGTTGATGGAAGCTCCGATGATGTTGCTGTTGATGACGAGTGTGGGTGGATCACTTGTTGATTTTATACTGCTGCTGTCACTGATTGTGCCAGCGTTGTAGTTGCTGTCTGAGGCTGAGAAGGTTGAGACTGTGTTGGTCTGGGGCTGCATCAGCTCCTCCATGTTTTTATACAAGGTAAACAGCACATCCAGTCTCCCTATAACGGAAAAATGGGGGATGACAATTTTCATCTACTTGAGTAAACACAAAATATTTTTATAACTAATTAATTTATAGTTTAATAAAATAAATATGTTCAAATATTGAACATTTATACGTTAAGTTTTCAAAGTTAAAGTAAATTTTTTTTTTTTTTGCATGACAACTTTCTACACCCAAATCTATATTTGTGAAAAAAGAATTCTTGAAATGCCTGACGGTGGTTACCTCCATTTCCGATGTGTTTCATACTGCCTTTGGAGATGGTAATGAAGTCCAGATCCCTATTCCATGCTGGAGTCAGGATCTGTCTAGCTGGGAAACTCAGGTCGGAGTGTGTGTAACGAGAGTTTATCACATTCATTTCCATGACTGGAATACAATACATTTTAATTTTAGTGAACAAGTGAGCCCACACAAATATTATTTTATTCTTGAATTACCGTGGATAAAATCAATTTTTGAAATGAAATTTTAAAGAAAATGTCCTTAATTTGATACAAATTTTATAGAAAAGTTTTTATTGTGAAAATGTTTAACTGAATGTTAATTTCAAACACAAAAATGAATGGTAATAAAAAAGAAATTTTCAAATTACTGTATTCCACAGTTGAGTATAACATCTGGGTTACCTATATTGTTGTCTATTTCCACATCTGTTGTGCCCATCTCCATGTGCTTGCTTACATGGAACCCAGTCTCCTCTAGGTATACAATCAATGTAGTGGCAGCTTTCTTCCTGTACTGTCTGGATAACCTTTTCCATGATGGCATGTGCTTGTTAACCAACAGACTGCTACTTGATTCCAAGAAAGCCTAGGAGAAATATAAAAAAAAACAGGTCAAAGTGGAAAGTTCAACAAATAAAAGATTATTTTTTTCCTTGTGTTCTTAATTTTAGTGTTGGAAGTGATTCCCTCCAACACAATTAAGTATTTCTAAAATAAAACTAATTAGGATAACTCAGCGAATGAAAACGATGAATGATTAAATCACTTACCCTTTTAAACTTCCTCATCTTGTTTTTGCTGTCCAGATCTGTTTTGTTGTAGTCCAGACTTCTGGCCAGCTTTGGCAGAAGTTTGGTGGCTGTCCTCATCAGGTCACCTGAGCTCATGTCCGACTCTTTGATTTTAGCGCTCAGCTCTACTGCCACATGGTCAGCAGAGTGGAGTCCTTGCATCTGCACACAGCACAAAGTAAAAGATAATTAGTAGAGTCCTTCCATCTGCCCACAGCACAAAGTAAGAGATAATTAGCAATCATAATGAGACATATTTTTAGACACAATATAATGTAGCACAAATAAACAAAGAAATAAACAGTACTTGTAATGATAGGATACATATTTTTAGAACTTTCTGTGGTAAAAATTTATAATAAAAATATAAGACTCATAAATTATTGAGGACTTCAAATATATTTTTAAATCTATGGGCAGCACTAACTAACATACAAAGAAAACAAAAAAATTATTTTGAGAAGTAGAGGACATTGTTATTTGATCAGCTGTTCAATCTCTTTTTAATCTGTTTTTAGCTTTAATTTATTTCTGTAAAATATTTTTGACTGAGCAAATTTAAATTTATTAATTCTGTTCTGTATCTTTTGATAGAGATACTTTCTGTGGTTTTTCCTCTATTCGATCATTGATTTCTGTTTTTAAAAATATTATTCACTCAATAAGGGATTGTGAACTAACAGAGTAGCTTTGCTTCAGTTCTAGAACTTACTATCTTAGCATCAATGTCATTGACCCAGGGAGATGTACAGCCAGACATATCAGGGCCAGACTTGTCCCAGCCAATACTAGAGCAATACAACGATGACATCCCTGGCAGAACAGAATAGATTGTAACACAATGTTAATCTTTACAACTCTAACCGCTTATCATTGTTACTTCCCTTTAGAAGCTTAACCTTATAACAGAAAATTATTCAGTCTTTAAATCAGTTATTTCCCTTCCTTTAGTTACGTTTCCTAAAATAAGATACACAATTTTAATTCTTAACTTGTGAGAGCTTATTCATTATTCTACTACTACTTCAGCAATTTACTTTAAGATAATGACATGTAAAAAATGTCAATTATTTATCCAAATGACAATGACATACCTAACAAGGGAGGTGGACACTTGGCTGTAGCACTGCGACCTATCTGTGTTCTAGGCCAGTTGATGCCTTCAAACTGTAGCCTGCCACAGAAACCACTGAGACCATTATGCTCACTAGGATCATAAATGGGGGTTGTTGATGTCCAGACTTCTTTTTCTACTGGGATGGGAGTAGTGTCCCCTGAAGGTAGGTCAAAGGTTGTTGTAGATGTGGGCCTCTCTTTTGCTGTTGTTGTTGTTGTAGGTCTCTTGGTGGCTGGAGGGTGTGGGGTATGGGCAGGTCTGTATGGTTCTTCGTCTGGCATTATTTGAAATCCCTTACCCTCATCAACATCTAAATATTTATAAAAAATATTTGAATTAAAAAAAAATTAAAATTAAAAATGCATTCTTGGAGTAATCCTTAAGCTTTGCTTAAAGTGAAATGGTTTACATTATTTAAAATCTTAATGGAAATGAATTTAACAATTATCTTAAAACTCTTCCAAAAATACTTAGCAATACTTAAGCATATCAAAACATAAAAAATAAATAGATACATAAAACATGCATGCTCTGTTAGTGCCAAAATACAATATATGTGCTAAAAATAATTTTGAAAATACCACATGCAGTAAAATATATCAATATTTATTAGAACATTTGAACCAAAAATGATCTTAGTAGTTAAGTTCCTCCCCCCTTAGCAATTAAGTTGCCCCCCTTAAATATATATTACAATTTAAGTCCTTTCATACAAGCATGCAAAAATTGTGGTTATGAGTTGAAGTTTATATCAAGTATTTATATGCTTGCATGAAGTAATGCACAAATCTTAGATACACTATCCTATTAAAGTGGCTAGGTAAAAAAGCAACATGGTGTTACATTATTTACAGCCTTTGGCACTATTTACAGTATGGTGCACTATTCACAGTATGGTGCACTATTCACAGTGCTGTGCACTATTTACAGCCAGTAGCACTATTCACAGTACTGTGTACTATTTACAGTACTGTGTACTATTTACAGTACTGTGTACTATTTTCAGCCTTTAGCACTAATCCCAGCCTGGTGCACTATTCACATTCTGGTGCACAATGTTGGTAATGACAAAGTTGTGTGATCACTTGGCAAGGCATTTATTAAGTCCTTGAGTTTATATATTTACAGGGTAGACAGGGTAATAAGCAACAACTTTAGGACCATTGAAATAGTAAATCATAGCCACATAATGAGGACCACTGCAATGATGGGGACTTGGAGATCATTAAAATTATACCTCATCAAAGGCAGTTCATCATGGCCACATAACGAGAACCACTTTATTAAGGGTACATTAAAGCCACAACATGGAGACCATTACACTACAAGCACTACTCATTAATAAGCCTAAGCACTAAGGTTGCTTACAAGAAAATAAAGGGTTAGTACATCTACAGCATACAATCAAGCAAGGCAATCAGCTATGTTTGGGTAGACCAAGGCACAGGCTTACATAAAGACTAAATATTTTTTATGAGGTTGTTCATTTTGTTTTTAATTAATAACATTTAATTACACCTTTAAAAAATTATTCCCTGCAATTCTTAAGTATTAGGCACACTTGTATTATTACTTCAATTCTATCTAGGAATTTCCTAACACCTTATATTTCCATTTTTTAAGCACTAGTTGGGCAAAATTGAGAAATATTTTGTATAAATGTTTAAAATTTTAATCTATTATTTTTGCACTTGTTTTTTTTTAATAAGAAGTAGTAGGGGAAATATCTGCCTAAAAACTTGTTTTGGCAACTTAATATCCTAACTTAATCTGGGAACATGTAATTGTGTGTATATAAATTGAAGTCATCATACTGGCCAGAGGTTAGAAACTACAATGTTTAGTAAGTTTAAATAACTGGCCAGAAAGGCCGCTAGCTAATGAAAAAAAAAATTGAAAAAGCTGGATTATTTTGTAGTGATATGATAATATGGGTAGGGGTAAGTAGCTTCCATAAGCTGTTGAGCTGAAGTTAAAGAAGCCCGTCCAGAAATTTGACCTACTTTCAGGCGGTCCACCAATGGTAGAAAACCTATCAGGACCTGGATCTTGAGATGACATATTTTTAAATTCCCCATAAGATGGCCTACTTCCTGTTGCTTGATCTGTCCTTGTTTCAGAGGGAAGCGCTGGATTATCATTTTTTTGTCTTTCTGGGGAAGTCCAATTTTTTGCAAGAGAAACAGCAGGATGTTCAGTCACTAAGTCAGACATGATCTGGCCTTGAGTTGGAGTTGTTTTTTCTGTTGAAATCTGTGGCACTTGAACATCTGGAGTTGTAACGGTCACTGGAGTTGTATCCAGCACTTCTTCAGAGTCTCCAAAGTCTAGAACAAAATGTGGTTTTGTATCTTTTAGTTCCTGTTTCTGTTGAAGCTCCATTTTAGTGTTGTGTTTCTGTTCAGTTTCAAGGACTGGACTTTTAGCAAAGGTTATTTGTTTGACTGCCTCCATGATGGGTTCTGGTTCCTGGGATCCATCTCCTTCCATCTCATCAGAAAGTATTGGAGCATCGGCTCTTTCATTGCTAGGAGTTTTACTGCGAGATGTGTACATTCTTATTTTAACTGTTAATTTTCTCTTCTCAGCCTCGGAGGGTGCTTTTGGAGAAAGGTACACAAAAAATCTAAATAAACAAAGATAACTGTTTCCTTTTTATTTTTAAATTAATTATTAATTCCTGTATCCTTATGTGAAAACAGAATAAATTCTGTCTTATTATATATATCTCAGTATATTTATTTTTTTTGAATCGGCATTACATTTTATGCTATAAACATGGATTTTTAAAAACTCATATATAGGAAGTTACTTTTTTTTTTCTTTTAAGTACGTGGGGTATGAGTTCTGTTTTTGTAATTATCTGTTTCCAACCTAATCTAAAGTTGAATGTAATTTTTTTTAAATTTGTAATGTTATCTTAATAACTGTAATAAAACTGGCTTTCTAGCCTGAACATGTATCATACAGATGACATATCATTTAGATGATGGCATATATCATACAGATAATTTATAGATTCAAACATAAGTTTGCTGTTTCCCATTCAACCAGAGAGAAAAAGCTACAGTAAGAAGAAGCTGAATAATTGGTGAATTATTACAAGTCAGTTTTCAACTACAATCATCATTGCAAGCAAAGTACTACTTTTGCTATACACCTACTCTTAACTGGTTACATTATAAAACTAGTATTTTCTAATTTTAAAAGAGCTGATAATAAAATTAAAGCCAAAAAGTTAGTTCAGTTCTCTGAAGTATTCTATAAGAATGGCTAGTCTGCTTGTAAGATTAAAATCTACCATGATGAAATTGAACAGCTGTAGGGTGCATGCTCTGCTAAGCGTAGAAGCCGAGGCCTAAAACAAACTAATACCTTCTCTAGAATTTGATTGTGTTGGATCTAAATGTGGATACAGGCTACTCTCAAAGGATGTGGAGTCCACATTTTCTGACTGAGTGAGTTGGGTGTGTGTTTGTGCCGACATATCTTTGCTAAGGTTATCGACATCAGCAACATTCTCTATTGCATTTTCTGCAATGGGGGCCATGTCGGATTCATCTAGAGAATAAATCACTATTCAAAAAAATATATGTACAACTAATAATTCTTATCTGCACTTGAAAATATTTTTGACAAATTTTTTAACTGCTCGATATAAATAGGTTCATTTGTATCATTACTTGAATTCTATGTTGGAATTTCCATTTATTAAATTAAAATTCATGGTTTTTTTAAAATCTTGCTGTAAATTTGATGGAATTTCAGCGATTGTTTTTTATTACTCTCATTTTGTGTAGCCTAATAAAATACAAAAACTTTGGTGTTATACAAGTATACACACATCCACACATCAAACTACGGAGTATACTGTAGCCGGATTTCTTACCAAGGGGCGGGGTTGAAACGGAGTAAGTGGGTGATGATCCCCCCATGTGTTTTCCAACACTCTTGAGAAATATGTAATAGGTAGTGTTAGGGTCTAGGTTTTCAAGGATTTGGCTATTGAATGTGGAATTTGGAGTAGGTGTGAAGTAATTTGCCTTCACATTCTTTCCATGTCCTTTGAAAGAAAAAAAATGGAGTGTTCGAAAAATAAAAACACAAAAGAAGAAGAAACAATTTTTAAATGCTGACAAAATATAAACGTGATTTAAAATTAAAAAACAACAAGAGGCATAAAATATTGACAGACACCAAGAAATTAAATTAAATTAAACAACAAAATTAACAAAATGCAGCATAACAAGTGCAAATAATTTACTTTTTTCTGCCCACAACCAGCAACCAAAAAAGTGAAAATTGGAAGCAAGACTTTGAACATTGAGCCAAAATAAAAATGGCATTATTGGCGGTAAATAGTTTACATTCTACTTCCTTGCTAAGCTGCACATTATGATAAGTTAATCAATTGCATTGCTAAATAATGTGAATAATGTGAACTTTCATGTCAAGTGAAATGCTTAGTAAAAAAAATTATGTTATTTAATTAACTAAATCATATGAAAGTTGAAATGATGGTTTATTTCTATAACTCAAATAGTCGTCAGCGAGATGAAAACACATGACTGACTTTACCTGTAGAAAAATTGTGTAAACAGAACCCTACCATCTTTAGCGATGTAAACAGCTGTTGTAAAGACAGTTACATCTGGGTCATGTGTCCATTCTATTTTCAATGACGTTGGGTCAATAGCAGTCAGAGAGGTAACGATTGGGGGCTTTGGGGTGCCGTCTGTGAGAAAATAATAATGGGGCAAATAAAATTCCCATTACAACAGATACCTTGTGGCCAAATTCGATTGTTTAAAACATTTTTTTTTCCATGAAAACTTCTCAGGCTACAAATTACCAACACATTAATGAAAATGCCTATGTGTTCTTTTAAATCTTTTACTATTTATTAATTACCGAAAAAATGTCATCCTATTGTTTAATCCATTTGTTGAAATTTACAGAAGAATTCTTCATAATTAAATTTGATGTTTTTGTCAAGGAAAATTCCTTCAAACAAACAAAGTATTTTCAGGGCTGTTGTTGCCCACTATGGAAGAGATTGAAGCTTAAATTTTGTACTTTTAATTTTCAAAATCTGCTTAGAACACAATTGCTGTCAAAACATCTTTTGAAACTGCGGGAAATGAACACAGCTTGACTCCAATTAACTCCTCAAAAAAAAAAAGATATTAGCTCAAGAAATGGCAACAGAATGGAGCAGCTTGCTGGGTTGTCCTTGGGTGATAATTATTAAATCAAGGGAGATTATCTGCTTATAACTCATTCCCTGCCTCGTTTAACCCTAGAGGCTTTAAGTTTTTATCCAATATTATTTTCTTTGAATTTGCTAAGTGTAAATTAATTTTATTTTTGATTATTGTAACTTAACAAAAAAGTATTGTTACATATTCACTTTTAATTACTTGAAATTCAAGTTTCGAAACTTATGTAACAATCATCAAATCTGTATAGCATTAGCATGCTAGATTTTTTGGAAAGTATAAACTGAATATAACCCAATTAGATAAAAGATGTGCTTAGAAAATAAAATAAAACAACATCTAGAACCATGCCAAGTGCAGGAAAGCATTGAAAACACCAAGATGCAACACTGAAAGGGGAAACAACTCTACACAAGTACTGGGTAGACAAAAAATAATAATTGTGTAACATCTAACACAGCAAGCCACGTAATACTGAATGCACAAAACATCAACTGATTTGAAACATAAGTTATGTTGATGTAGTTTTATATCAACTTCTTCAACTACATTCTTTAAAGATATGTGTATGCCTTACAGCATACTGCTGATCAATGTTTGAATTAACTTTAGAACTATTTTCTAAAAAAAAAATTATGCAGACTTATAAATATGTAAATATAACTTGTAAAATGTGAAGAAAGATTTATTTGTCAGTTTAATTCAACAGATGGCCAGATATTTAAAGTCTGGATTTTAAAATAACAACCTAAGTTGGGGCAAGTGGACGCTGAAAGAGAGAAGAGACCAGATATACGTACTCACCATTATACGTTATCAAAGGAGGCAGAGGAGCTTTGGTTGTCAGGAGGTCTGAAAAAATAAGTCGTGCACATTCAGATAGTATAGACATGCAAGAGAGAACTGATCAAAACTGACCAGCAGAGAGTGGAGCCAAGAGGTAGGTGGAAATGAGATATATTATGTCAGGTATTTCTGTATGAAGGTGAGGATGTAGATAGACATAGGTGGGCATGCCAGGTGTGAAGTGCTGGAAATGCTTGTTGGCTGGCTTAAGGTAGATCAGCTTTTATGAAAGGGAAATAATTATGAGATACTATACAAAAGCTTGAAAAGGGAGACACTATACAAAATAATAATAAGGGACATAATTATAAGCCATGATTTTTTAAAAAATAAAACATAAAAATAACTTTAAATAATGATTGTAATAATAGTTTATTAAATTACACACATTCTTCTTAAAATGTATAAATCAATAATAAATTTAGTTCAAAGTAAATTTTCTTTAGAGTCAAGATTATTGCCCTATTTTTATTTTTTTAATCAGGCATGTCATGTGAGGCGAGGCCTGACCCGTTGAGAGTAGCTGACAAACATTTGTAGCTTCAAGAAGGATCTCACACTGGCAATCGTGTGCCCCGGGGGCCTATCATTTTCATAATGCACCGCACCGCGTGATAAGGTGCCTTGTCCACTTGGACAAATTGTTATTGATCGCCCGTAACACATAGCATACACGGGAAACACGCGAATACTTAACAGTGATGGAGTGGGAGGGAAAACATAAACTCGTTTGGGGAAAACTTTTAACGTCAACAGTGGCCGAGCACTGTCGAGGACACAAATGGGTGTGATGACACAATCGTGTTTGTGATGGGAGCATGCTCGGGCCAGTAGCAAAAAAAAACAACAAATGATATGTAGAGGACAGGTTTCGATGCGCGGACGCCCAAGAAAAGGCGAACCACATCAGAAACATACCCGGGTGTCTAGCTACTGAAGAGGACATCTAATCACCGCATCTTTTCTAAAACAAAAAAAAACTACAAAACTTGTAACTTTTTTTTTTCTCTCTCGTGATCTCAATGATATCGCTGTGATCTAAATGTTCACTCCACGTTGCCATGGAAACGCAGGTGTAAAACAAAAGGTTTCTTACCTCTAGCGCAGGAAAACCTGACCTCGGCGTACTTGTGCGTGCTTGGACACGGGTCACCGAACACGTGGCTGTCGACCAATAGCGAGCAAGCTTGGCGTCCATCACATCTGGGGAGTGAGGTTATGTTCTAGTTTCATGTATAGTTCTAATTTCAGTTCTAGTTTCATGTCAAGTTATAGTTTCAGTTCTAGTTTCATGTCAAGTTATAGTTTCAGTTCTAGTTTCATGTATAGTTCTAATTTCAGTTCTAGTTTCATGTAAAGTTATAGTTTCAGTTCTAGTTTCATGTCAAGTTATAGTTTCAGTTTCAAGTAAAGTTCCAATTTTTAAATAAAGTTCTAGTTTCAAGTAATGTTCCAATTTTTAAATAAAGTTTTAGTTTCAAGTAAAGTTCTAGTTTCAAGTAAAGTTCTAGTTTCATGTAAAGTTCTAGTTTCATGTAAAGTTCTAATTTCAAGTAATGTTCTAGTTTCAAGTTAATTTCCAATTGTTAAGTAATGTTCTAGTTTCAAGTAAATTTCCAATTGTTAAGTAATGTTCTAATTTCAATTAATGTTCTAATTTCAAATAATGTTCTAGTTTCAAGTAATGTTCTAATTTCAATTAATGTTCTAATTTCAAATACATTTCCAATTGTTAAGTACTGCTTCAGTTTCAAGTACAATTCTTGGTTATTAAAACTTCGAATCCTGTGTCGTTCTTGAACATTTTTGCAATAGTTTTACAAAATGATGAACCAAGTCTTGGGAAAAGCTGTTTAACACGACAGCAACTAGCTCAGTGAATTAAATTCATTGGTCGTTTGATCAACTCAGTACAGTTACCATGAGCATTCATTTGATTCTTAGTTTTGTCCATCACTTTTTTGTTGTTTTTGTTGCGGAATGAAGCGGCATACTTGAATCGTAACGTAGTTTTGAATCCATGACGACATTTTAAAGGCATGACTTCATTCCAAATGCGTGCCTTCACAAAGGTTATTACTGGCAATACACGTCATCACGCGGTGTATGACTCTTCTGTTAACAACCTGTTTGGTACCCGGTGTAATCAAGGAAGTGCTCAAGGAGAAACCATGTCCCATATTTGAATAACTGTTGCGCAACACACAAAAAAGCCTTGTATGTCCGACCCAAAAGACACGTAATTCTAATTAACGAGAAGAGCTATTGATTACAGATAGATGAAGGCTCGTGCGAGGGTTGAAGACGAGCCATTTAGAGGATTAAGAATTGCTTTTAAACAGAGTGCTGTAGCCGGAGCATCTAACTCAGGCAGGTTAGTCCTGCAACTAAATATATATATATATATATATATATATATATATATATATATATATATATATATATATATATATATATATATATATATATATATATATATATTAAAAGCTGGTGTATTAGGAAAGGGTGAGAGTTACCTGACGGAGATGATCTCAAACGTTCTGGGTTGGAAGCAGTTGGTGTTCCAACCCTCCGTCAACCCGTGCGGGTTGCAGACCATCAGCGAGAAGCGGCCGTAGTTGGCCCTGTCGATTCGGATGACCTCACCGAAGCTGCACTCTAGCTTTAGGGTATCGTTCTCACAGGCAAAGACGCTGTTCATGGCTGCTGGGGATAGAGGGGTGGGAGAGGGGTGGGTTAGAGGTGGCTGCTGGGGATAGAGGGGTGGGTTAGAGGTGGGTTATTGGTGGCTGCTGGGGATAGAGGGGTGGGAGAGGGGTGGGTTAGAGGTGGGTTATAGGTGGCTGCTGGGGATAGAGGGGTGGGAGAGGGGTGGGTTAGAGGTGTGTTAGAGGTGGCTGCTGGGGATAGAGGGGTGGGTTAGAGGTGGCTTCTGGGGATAGAAGGGTGGGAGAGGGGTGGGTTAGAGGTGTGTTAGAGGTGGCTGCTGGGGATAGAAGGGTGGGAGAGGGGTGGGTTAGAGGTGTGTTAGAGGTGGCTGCTGGGGGTAGAGGGGTGGGTTAGAGGTGGCTGCTGGGGATAGAGGGGTGGGAGAGGGGTGGGTTAGAGGTGGCTGCTGGGGATAGAGGGGTGGGAGAGGGGTGGGTTAGAGGTGGCTGCTGGGGATAGAGGGGTGGGAGAGGGGTGGGTTAGAGGTGGCTGCTGGGGATAGAGGGGTGGGAGAGGGGTGGGTTAGAGGTGTGTTAGAGGTGTCTGCTGGGGATAGAGGGGTGGGTTAGAGGTGGCTGCTGGGGATAGAGGGGTGGGAGAGGGGTGGGTTAGAGGTGGCTGCTGGGGATAGAGGGGTGGGTTAGAGGTGGCTGCTGGGGATAGAGGGGTGGAGAGTGGTAGGTTAGAGGTGTGTTAGAGGTGTCTGCTGGGGATAGAAGATTTTAAAAATTGTCGCTTATGATATGGGTGACTCCAGCATAGATATAAATCCAGTGCTTTTTTTGCACGCTGCGATGTGGTTTTTTTTTAAACAACACAAACACTGTCGTCCTTACTTTTTACATGCAGGATTCAAGTCTTTTGTTTGTTTTAATGTAAGCACTTCGATGTTAAATTCAACGTGGACCCCACCCCCCCCCCCCCGACCCCTAGTCCGGACGTCCTACATAGATGACACCTTAGTGTGTGTTGTCATTGATGACATGCTCTTAGTCATAACTCATGAATACAAAGAAGTTAGTCATGGGTTCTGACAGTTGGTGCTTTGTATTGTATTCAACCACTTACACATGTGTATTTAGCAATTGTGTGCAAACTCATGCTAGATGGTGTATTTTGAAAGATTGACACTGTATATCAAGTCTATTGTATTATAATACACATGTTATTACATTCTGGTTTTAGGTGACAAATCTTTATGTTGTGAGAAAGCTGATGACAAATGTTCAGATAAATCTTGTACAAGTAGACCCAACCCTTTCTCAGCTTTCAGTCAATGAAAAAAAAAAAACTAGTGTAGAGAGTTCAAAGAACTGACGTTTATTTCTTGCACAGGGACCTGTGTTTCTTGCGTCATGTGCAAGGTCCTAAAACTTCTCACGGGTGTGTGTGATTAACCATTCAACACGGAACCGAGCGGAGAAATCCCGGCATTCCCCGGCAGAGGTAGCGGCCGGGCCTTATGGGAAATCTCTGCTCTCCATCTCCATTCATTCCAAACTTCAAATAAATAACCGGCCACGATGAATGGGTCCCCTTAAACAATGGACTGCAAAATGTCATCTGTTTCCGTCTTTTTGTCTAGGCCGGTCGATGAATTCGGGAGAGGGTAGGGGGAGGGGTGGTTCCAGTGACGAGAACAGAGCGAGGGGTGGTTTAATACGGCGAGTGGTCAGATAAAGTTATACGGCACTAGGGGGTTTTAGAATCTCTTCAAGACATGAACACACGCACCAGCTAAACTTTTCCAATTAACAGGACAAGAAATAAAATTGGGGCAATTATGTGAAAAATATGCATAAAAAAATGAGCGATTTTTTTTCGTAACATTTTAATGAAATAAAACTGGAGGATTAAAAAGGATGTTCGCTTCCCTTGGACGTACGCTCAGGGAGTCACAGAGGGCCTTAACAAGCCACAAGCGCAAGCACACTTGTCACGTGGGCTGTCTGCAGCAGCGCCACACACGTGTAACTATAGAGCCCCATCCATCAGGTGCGGTTTTTTAAAACCATTTTTTTTGTCTTGGGGAAATAGCCATCAGCTTGTATGGGGTTAATATCCATTTCTTGAGTTGTCTAATAAAATTATAACATATGAATAGAACGAATCCATTGTCGTAAAAAGAAATCGATTATTTTTTTTTTTTAAAAAGGGGGTTAAAGCAGTTATAGTGAAAGACTGGAACGAGACTCCACGAGGCGGAAGACTGAAAACGAAAGTAGAATCTGACGTCACGGCGGAAACCCGAGGAACTAATGCGCCCTCTAGTGATATGCGGGTTCTTTTAAAAAAAAATAATCTCTAATCCCCTAATTAATCTGATAATCACACAGGATATCCTGTCCAGTAATTAGATGTTTCGTCTGCGCTGCTGGACCTCAAATGAATATGGATCACCGTCTTGTGTACACCGGACCTCCCTCGTCATCCAAGGTTAAAGCCGTACAGTATCCCTTCATCCCTCCCCTAACACGACGAGACAACAAATCGAATACAATTCTTATCCCCTCGTCATTGCTAATTGTTTACCGACCCATCGCCCTCGCCCGTCTCCTCGGTCGAACGTCATCAAAACGAAACAAAAAGTAGAAGATTATTTATTTTTATTTCCGTCAACATCATCTTAACATCAGACCCCGCGCGTCATAGGCCGAGGAAAACATGAGGGCTTTCAAACTTGAACTTTAATACGTAAACACATTTTTTTCAAACTTGAGATGTCAAATCCAGGTTGACAGATGAAGCGGGGAGATAACCTCATCCTTTATCTACAATTATTTTTCACATTTATCAACATTTCCTTTCCGATAAATTTTTTTTAAAATTATATTTTTTATAAAAAAAATGATACAATTTTGAAGAAATAAAGTTTGATTGAAACAATCTATTTCTTCAAAGGTGAAATAATTTATCGTTAAAATAATGTACACAGAAAACATTAAAGCGGAGGGGGTGAGGGCGGGAGGATGCGTGATTTCCCCGAAGGTAAATATGTTTGCATACAGAAACCAACTCAGAAAATCGCCGGCCTGTGATGTAATAGCCCCGTGATCTTCAAAGAAACAAAAAAATATTTTGTTAATGCATGCCGCGGACACGTTTTTTAAAAACGATTTGACAATAAAATCAGGCAGCAATGAAACACTTAAAGGGACTCTCTTTGATTCACCTGGCGAGCATGGGGTGAATGTTTACCTAAGAAACATCCAGGTAAAGTGTTTACTTTTTAAAATGTGGTTTTTTTTAATGACGTCGGGTGTGTTTGCTTTTTAATTAGACTAAAACGATGGTTTTAAGTTTCTTTTTTAGCGTTTGAGTTGTTTTTTAAAATGGTATTGAATGTGAACGGAAGAAAAATCGTGATAGAACTGAAGTTTTCTTAATGGTTGTGTAATCGAATTGTTTGCTTTAAGTTTTCAACATTTATTTTATGAATAGGCCTACTCCAGAACACTTTTATCAGGCAGTATTAAGGACCAAGGAACATGGTTTAGCTAGAGTCTAGATAGTCATGGAACTGGTTTTAGACCCGGATATTTGAATTACACATCGGAACTTGGTATAGATGAAGGAACTTGGTATTAGATCTAGTGAACTTGATCATGGAAGATGTGTTAAACCAAGGAACATGTTTTAGACTGTGGAACATGATTTGGATTTGACAGACTTAAGCCCCCCCCCCCCCAACTCCCGGTTCACATTCCATGTCTCCACCTACACTCAACTCATCCTGCCCCCCTCCCCACTGTCATGTCAAGGCCCCCACCCCCACACACATACAAACTACATGTCAAGACAAACTCACACATGCACTTATATGTCATGACCCCCCCCCCCATGATCACACACTCACACGTGCACTATGTCATGACCCCCCCCCCCCCATACACAATGTTATGACCCCCTTCCCCTCCCCCCCCCCACACACACATCAAGACCCACCATACAAACACAAATACTGCATGTCATGAATCAGAACACAACCCACACCCTAACCACGAGACAATCGTAGCCCTACTCAAACAATGTCGTCACAACCCCCACACTCCCGCCTGTAAATTACAGATGTGCTTATGGACCTGTGATGCTGACCCGAATTAACATATCTATTTGCGAGGGTTTTTTTTTTTTATCCCGAAAAAAAGAAAATTTAATTCCGCCAAATCGAATATATATTTATTCGATTTTTGTCTTCCTTAACGTGGGATCCATATTTTTTTCCTTGAACAAGGTGTGGGATAAATTGAGATTGTATTTTTATCCCGCATTGCTAATGCAGATGATCTGACTTTTCAACAAAAAAAGTCAGATGAAGTTGGTTGTTGTCTTTAAGTTAGCGTCTCCGTTCCTCCACACGCACGCGCATATATACACAGACACACACACACAAAGAGACAGACAGACACAAACACACAGGTAGTCACAAGAAAGAGGTTGTATCTTTGAAGTTTTGTACCAATCACTATAATCTGTAAAAAAAAATCATCTTTCTGTCGTGACGGTCTATTAGGTAGTAGGTGTTAACTTCATGTTAAAGGGATAAGTTCGATCAGTTCATGTCCTGCCATTTACTGATTAACATAATATCAGTAACGTACCTGAGTACGGAATAGAATCGGGGAATTGAACTCGAGATCACTTGTAAGCAGTCGTACGCTCTGCAACCAGACCAGGTCTTCCCATACAGTAAGCTCGTTTATAAGGCTCCCTCTGTTTCTTCACACTAGCACACACACACCACACTCACGTTAACGCACACAAATGCACGTTTACGCACACACGAGGATAAACTCACGCACACAGACACATACCATACGGGGAAAAAACATACACACACCATCGGAACACATTTACTAAAACATATAGGGTTTTTGTACCAGTTACTGTCAGCTATCACACGTCTTTAGTGCCCCCCCCCCTCACACACACACACACTTCGAGTTCACGAGGGGGGAGTAGACGAGGACCACAGGAGGGCGAGATGGGAGGAGATC